GTAAGTTTTGTGCTTTTAAGAGGTCGGTCGCGGTTTGCAATGTTCACGGTTTTTTTTGTTGCAGTGTTGCTAGGCTGGGGTGGGAGGGCATGGGTATAAGAGGGAAAAAAATGATAGTGGGAAAATCTGTGTATTGGTATTATTATTATTATTTTTTAATTTTCTCGTTTCAACTGATATATTTTTCTTCGTTTTTATTATTAATATTTTTAAACTATATTCCTCACGAAATCTTTATTGCATGAATGCACATACCAACACGATACGCATGCAGAACATCACGGATATCACAGCAATGCATGCAATCGTAAATTCTCCGTTCGCCATATGTGCATTACTCGAAAAAAGTCTTTCTGTTTAAGCTTTTATTTTATTATTATTATTATTATTTTTACTTCAACTCTCTCTCTCTCTCTTTCTCTCTCTCTCTCTCTCTCTCTCTCTCTCTCTCTCTCTCTCTCTCTCTCTCTCCCTCCCTCCCTCCCTCCCTCCCTCTCTCTCTCTCTCTCTCTCTCTCTCTCTCTCTCTCTCTCTCACTCTCTCTCTCTCTCTCTCTCTCTCTCTCTCTCTCTCTCTCTCTCTCTCTCTCTCCCTCTCTCCTCTCTCCCTCTCTCTCTCTCTCTCTCTCTCTCTCTCTCTCTCTCTCTCTCTCTCTCTCTCTCTCTCTCTCTCTCTCTCTCTCACACACACACACACACACACACACACACACACACACACACACACACACACACACACACACACACACACACACACACACACACACACAGACACATACACACACATGCGCGCGCACGTGCTATGATATATATGTATGTGTGTGTTTGTATGTATAGGTCTGTCAATCTGTTTATTTTCTTCTTCTTTTTTAAGGGAAAATGGTATAAACCGAGAAAATCTATGTACTGCTTTTGGTATGGTTTGTTAAACTTATATTTCTGGATTTTTGCATTAGATTTCAGAGAGGGAGAGGGAGAAGGAAATTGAAGATGGAAATGGAGGAGAAGGAGATGGAGAAGGAGGAGAAAGAAAAAGAGAAAGAGAAAGATAAAGAGAAAGAGAAGGAGATTGAGGAGAAGGAGAAGGAGAAGGAGAAGGAGAAGGAGAAAGAGAAAGAGAAAGAGAAAGAGAAACAGAAGGAGAAGGAGAAGGAGAAAGAGAAAGAGAAAGAGAAAGAGAAAGAGAAAGAGAAAGAGAAAGAGAAAGAGAAAGAGAAAGAGAGAGAGAAAGAGAGAAAGAGAAAGAGAGGGAGAGGGAGAGGGAGAGGGAGAGGGATAGGGAGAGAGAGAGAGAAAGAGAAAGAGAGAGGGAGAGGGAGAGGGAGAGGGAGAGGGAGAAAGAGAGGGAGAGGGAGAGGCAGGCCGGCAGGATCGGACAATGGGTAGTATTTACATTTCCTTTTTGAAACACGTATGTACACCTGTGCGCAAGTGTGGCTAATCGAGTGTGTACAAGCTGCATCCCACAATCTGCTCCAGACACTTAATATTCAGAATCTCGTGCTGGTTATTTTCCCCATCATCTTCTTAATTTTTTTCCTCTTCCTCTCTTCCTCTTTCCCCCCTCTCCCCGTTTCTACTTTTTTCCATTTTTCTAACTCCCCATTCCATCTTTTCAACTTCTTCTCTTTCTCTTTTCCATCTCCTCTTTCTCTATCCCTTTCATTTTTCTCTACTTTATCCTCTTTTTACCCTTTGCCCCTTTCCCCTTTTCTTACTTCTCTTCCTCCCTTCCCTCTTTCATTCTTTTTATCTTCCTCCTTCCCTTTTACTCGATTCCCCTTTCCCTTTCGCTTTCTCCCTTCTCCATGCCCCTTTCTCTCTTCCGTTTCCTACATTCCCTTTCCCTCTCCCTTTCTCTTTTCTCCCTTCTCTCTTCCTCTTCCTCATTCCCCTTCCTTCTTCCTTTTCCTCTTACCTCTCCCCCAACCTCTTCTCACTTCTTCCCCCCTCCTTCCCCCTCCCCCCTCCCTCATTCCCTCTGCCACTCCTTCCCCCCACACTTCCTTTCCCCCTCCCCCTTCCCCCTCCCCTTCCCCTTCCCCTTCCCCTTCCCCTTCCCCTCCCCCTCCCCTTCTCCCTTCCCCTCCCCCTTCCCCTCCCCCCCTCCCCCTTCCCCTCTCCACTCCTCGCTGAGCCCTCCCTCATTCCCTCTCCCCCACCCCTCCCCTCCCTCACCCTCTCCTCCCGACACCACATTCCAGTCGCGTAAAGGTGTGTTGTACCCCCTCACCCCCCCTCACCCCTCACCCCCCTCACCCCCCTCACCCTCTCACCCCTCTCACCCTCCTCACCCCTCCTCACCCCCCTCACCCCCCTCATCCCCTCACCCCCCTCACCTTCACTCCCAAACATCCTTTTCGGTCTCTGTTACCAGGCCTATCTCGTGGTGATGTTCGCATTGGGGATGCTGAGGGTGATTCTCTCTCTCTCTGTCTCTGTCTCTGTCTCTTTCTCTTTCTCCTGTCTCTCTCTCTGTCTCTCTCTGTTTCTGTTTCTGTTTCTGTTTCTGTTTCTGTCTCTGTCTCTGTCTCTGTCTCTGTCTCTGTCTCTGTCTCTGTCTCTCTCTCTCTCTCTCTCTCTCTCTCTCTCTCTCTCTCTCTCTCTCTCTCTCTCTCTCTCTCTCTCTCTCTCTCTCTTTCTCTCTCTCTCTCTCTAATTCTCTCCCTCTCCCTCTCCCCCCTCCCCCTCCCTCTCCCTCTGCTCTCCCTCTCCCTCTCCCTCTCCCTCTCCCTCGCTCTCCCACTCCCTCTCCCTCTCCTTCTCCTTCTCACTCTCCCTCTTCCTCTTCCCCCTCCCCCTCCCTCCCTCTCCCTCCCTCCCTCCCTCCCTCCCTCCCTCTCTTTCTCTCTCTCTCTCTCTCTCTCTCTCTCTCTCTCTCTCTCTCTCTCTCTCTCTCTCTCTCTCTCTCTCTCTCCCTCTCTCTCTCTCTCTCCCTCTCTCTCTCTCCCTCTCTCTCTCTCTCTCCCTCTCTCTCTCTCTCTCTCTCTCTCTCTCTCTCTCTCCCTCTCCCTCTCTCTCTCCCTCTCCCTCCCTCCCTCTCTCTCACTTTCTAAATTTATCAAACTGTAATTAAAGGCAAACACCTTTTATTCAGATGAAGCAACGCGGTTGACTCACCAATTCACCAAGTAAAACCAGATTGCAAGAAGGGAGGTGTGGTGTGGAGTTCCAGTGGAGTGTGTGTGTATGTTGGAGAAATTGGATGATACTGTATATTTGTCTCTCTTTCTCTGTTTTTGTTCATCTGCGTCTGTGGTGGTCTGTCTACGCATACAAATACACCCACGCACGGATACACACGAGCATGCACATGCACACACACACACACACACACACACACACACACACACACACACACACACACACACACACACACACACACACACACACACACACACACATAGTTATATATATGTATATTGCTCGAATGTACATGTATGTATATGTATATATGTATACGTATATGTATATATACGTATATATATATGTATGCATAAATATGTATATATGTATATATGCATATATATACACATATATATTCATACACACATGCATATGTATATATATGTACATATATATACATATGTGTGCATATGTACATATATATATATATATATATATATATATATATATATATATATATATATATATATATATGTATATATATATGTATATATATATATGTGTGTGTACATGTATATATATATATATATATATATATATATATATATATATATATATATGTGTGTGTGTGTGTGTGTGTGTGTGTGTGTGTGTGTGTGTGTGTGTGTGTGTGTACATGTATATGTATATATGTATATATATGTATGCATATATGTATATATATGTATGTATATATGTTTATGTATGTGTATATATGTATATATACACACATATATTATATATACACACATATATTATATAAACACACATATATGTGTATATATACATATATACATATTCTTACATACATATATATGTGTATATATATGTATATATACATATATATTCACACATACATATATGTATATACACATATACATGTATATGCATATATATATATATATATATATATATATATATATATATATATATATATATATATATGTATATATATATATATGTATATATATATATGTATATATATATATGTATATATATATATATATATATATATATATATATATATATATATATATATATATATATATATATATATATGTCTGTACGAGCGTACATGTGCGAAAGTGTGATAGGCCGTGCCTGTATGCATGAATGTATGTAGATTATTGCACAGAAGTATTCTTCGTTTAAGAGAGACTCGACCAGTTACTTCGTCTCATGGGGAAAGAGAAGGGACTTGAGCCATTTTGCATGAACGACTAATTATAGGGTGTATTAACGAGCCCTGTTGATCGCATAGACCATCAGCGTTTAAATACCTCCCCCCCCCCCTCCTTTCGCCGTTCGCTTTGAAGGGAGGTAATTTCCCGGAATTGATTTTACTCGTCACACTTGCATGGTCGGTGCATTGTACACTGTACTCTTGTGTAAGTTGTTTCGGGTATTTGGGTATATCTCTTATGCAGTTAAGTAGCACCTGTGTCTTGCTGGATCGGGATAGAGTAATGACCTTTTTGGACTAGCATATTGATATATATTATTTTTTTCTTATACAGATGGGTATAAAACGTGAGACATCCACTCTTTTATCCGAAAAGTTACAGTTAGTTGGGCATTTTTTTTTTTACGGTACAGTTGATCAATATTTCGATGAAGACACCTGGTCAGCATTGTGTCTGGTTCACTTTGGCCAGACATCTGTGTAAGACATTGATCAGCGCTCCGTATTGCATATTTGGTCAACGGCCTCGGGGTAAAAACAGTCTCCATAGTAACTGTAGACTGTGGCAGGAACAGGGTCTTCGCATAGTGACAGAGAGGACGTTTATAATTGATTGTTTTATACGCCGGATGTCTGTAAAATTGCAAAACATT